AGAGAAAGAATCTTCATAATTTAACTAATTACACTTTCAAATCAAGTCTAGTCTTGCTTATCGTCAAAGATAAGCATCTCGGTCAATGCCGGTCAACGGCGGGTTTGACCGGTCAACGGCTGGGTTAGATGGACAAAATCGTCATTTCAGAAGAGAATAAAAATTAAATGCATCAACGACTTTCACGTGTCACTTAACGTTCAAAATTTAACCGAGGGGGCAGAAAATGGAACTCGTGCTAACGGTGAATTGTTTAAGGGAAAATTTGTTATTTTTAAACTTTAGATAGCATTTTATTACTTCGCCAATAGTTTAGGAGGGACAAGTGTAATTTGTCAAAAAAAAAAAAAAATACCGAACAACCTATGCAAGTAAAGGACTTTTTAACCACGGTTTAAAAAAAAATTAACTACATAACCGCATCATACTATACCAATATTGTACGACAAGGTGCAGTCTAGGTTATACATTTTGTTGGCAGTTGAAATTCATCTAACAAATAATTTTATCGTGACCACCTCACCATAAATCAATTCATACCATGGTAAAGTAACTAAGAGAAAATCTAAAAATATATATATAAAGAATACGCAAATTTATATTGGTTCATCTAAATTAACGTCCACTTTGAGATTTTTAAAAGAGAGGTGATTATTTCACTTTGAACTCAGAGAAATACAAGAGCACTCGAAAATAATGCCAATAATTAAACTTAGAGTTACCTCCTAGGGTCTATTTATAATATTGTAGGTCTAGCTTATAATTCTCAAAATCACAATTATCTTATCTCTAATTTGCCTATGGAGATAATCTTGTGGTTTCATCATGATCTTTCGGCTGAATTCTCTGTTATTTGAAATGGAGAAAAAAATTATGCGTGATATGACGTTGACTCTGGACGCGGCTTGGTGAATTCATCTTGGGTATTTTGCAAGGTTGGAAAGTGTATGCGCTGACATATATGTCACCTTATCAATAACCGAGCTACTATATATAAGTTATTGCTTTTATGATTGAAATGCAACAGCTCGGTTGAGCCATCAACACCTTTTAAACCTTAAACCTTTCACAAATTTAGATCAAGTTAGCAACTTTGTGTGAATATTTACTCAACGCATGAACATAAAAGAAATACTCATTTTGTCATAATAAATTTCCGACATTGCAAACTCCATCCAAAGAGAGCAAAATATTAGAATCATTCGACACTTTAGTTCTTAAACTTTTATTTTTATCTTATTACTCAGTGAATTTTTTTTTTCTTTCTGTAGTTTTGATCACTAATACTAAAATTGATAAAAAAAGAAATTAATCTCTAATGGAGATAATCATGTTTTTGTCGCATCATAATTTGAAATTTTACAAATATAGTTACATTATGTGCAAATGTCTCCTAACTACTATTAAATCCTATTGAAAACTAATGTACTTTGCATGCAATCTAACTATTTATCCAAGTGATTATGTTAAATTTCAAAAATTCTTCATTACTTTTAGCATCGGGCCCAAAACTACCCAAAAAAAAAAAAAAAAAAAAAAAAAAACTAAGGAGTAATCTGCAAAAAAGAGTTTAAAAACCAAAACGTCATAATACTCAATAGTTTAAAAACTAATATAACTATGCTATACTTAAACAAACAGTCTAGAAATATCCTATGGGGGTGAGTGTTGAGTAATTGCATGAATCAAAATATCTAGTACGATAAATTTTATATCCGATGCTTTATTAAGATTTGAGAGTAAATATATATACAATTAGGGGTACACATATATATATATATATATATATATATATATGTATGTGTGTGTGTGTTTTTATACGGGTTTTTTTGGTATAATCTCATACGCGCCTATGCTCATTCAGATCTGCGCCATTTATACCCGTACCGTTTAGCCTCGCCCACAACTACCCAACTCCATGCGACTCAAAGTTGACCGTGGCCGGAAAAAGATAATATTTACAATAAATTTGAAGTATATAGGTATAGATATGCAACAATCTAAACTATAGTATATAAATTTTGATACCCTTGAAATACATAGTATAAAAATATAAAGAACCTTTTATAAACTATTGTGGAATTAAAAACGTTTTTTCGATAAAAATAAACTGTTGAGCGACAAAAAGGTGTGGATTGGGCATAAGTTTGTAATGTGAACAAATGTACAACAAATGTTATAATTTTTTCATAATCCAAAATACATTATAAACTATAAATAAATACCTTTTTAAAAAATTGTAGTAAATAACAATTTTTAAAATTAAACTAAGTAAATAACATATTTTAATATTATATGAGACAAATAGTAATTTACGTGGTAAATGAATCATTTACACAATCATTTACTGTATAAATAATTAATTTACAACTAGTAAAAATTCTTAAAAAAATTTTATTTACGTGGAAAAAATTCTTTTTGCCAATCATAAAAAGAAAATTTAAGCAAAAATAATATTTTTACTAATCGTAAATGAACTATTTGTATGATAAATGATTCATCTACCACATAAATTGTTATTTAATTCAAATAGTTTTAAAATTTGTTATTTACTTCATTTAGTTTTATAAATTGTTATTTACTACTTTCTCCATAAAAAAAATAAAAAATAAAAAAAACCATCTCTGTCTCATGTACGCCATGATCAAATTGATACAAGTCAATCTTTAATTTAAAATAAATTTTGTTAATAATACCTAGAGAATTTTTTGGTAAGCCATAAAAATACCCTATCAGTAGGATACAATGTTTAACTACAAGCTTCAGATTATATTTTATTTAAGATGTTATAATTCTAACTTCATCTAAGTCGTTCCTAAATTTGTTATGACCTTTAAATTTAAATCATTCTGTTTAATTTTTAGTATTCTAAATGATATCAAACGTGTCAAATTATGTCATGTCATTTAATAAACTCAAACGTTAAAACGTAAAAAAAAAAAATCATTCTTTTCTCTTTTTTGCGAAGTAATATAATGTAGTTGGTCACACATAAGATAATTTGAGTCCATGACCGTCTACCTTCCTACCTTACCATAAAATTCTCTTTAAATAATAATATATAATAGAAAATCCAAATTACAATTGAACATTCCAGCAAAATAATAATAATTAAAAAAATGCAAAAACCACATTAATCAACAGCAACAACCACATGATTTACACGATCAAGCCCCTTTCTTTTTTTTTTTTAACACCTATGTTGGTGGCATGCATAAGGGAAGAATACAAAACCGAGGCAAAATGTTAAAGGAAAATACGGTTCTCTCAAGTAGGCAACCCTTAATGTTATCATCTTCGGCCTTTTCCTTTTCCTTTGGAATCAAAATGGTGAGCTTTGAGCTTCTTCTTACGCATGGTAGTCGTGGCACCTCCACCCTCTCTGAAGGGCATCCCCATTAGAGCCAAAAGCTTCTGCCCTTCTTTATCTGTTTTAGCCGTTGTGGTGATGCAAACATCCATTCCCCTGGGCTTACCAAGCGCATCAAACCTGACCTCCGGGAACACGCTCTGGTCACGAATCCCGATGGAGTAATTCCCATGTCCATCAAAGCTGCTTGAATTCACGCCCTGGAAATCCCTTGTTCTCGGAAGCCCCAAGTTAATAAGGCGATCAAGGAATGAGTACATTACCTTCAAAATTAAAAGGGAAAGAAGAAGCCAATTAGCATACAACATACATTTAGTTAACTAGTCTCGGAGAAAAAAAAAATTCATAATCTGGAAAGTGATAGTACAAAGGATACAACCCTTCTAAGCATGGAAGGAAGTATTTTGCAGCATCTTGCATGTAATTGAATGAGAGCTTCGCACCATAAAAGAAAGAGGTATCTAAGTAACGCATATCACTAAATAGTCTTTCCTTCCTTTCACATTAAACAATAAGAACCCGCTCCCAACACCAAACCAGCATTTAAGCACGGCTAATTGCCTAAAGGGTTGTAGCCATAGCTAGAGTAAAGCAGTGGTGGAACAACATAAATGAGTAAACAAAAAAGTTTACACATCTGTCTCATTGATAACCATCTCCACAGCCAAGGCAACAAAGAGTGCAAAAATTACTAATAAAGCATCTCCCCAAACCAAGGCAACTGTTGTGGATGTATCCGCCTTGTTAATCATCCCCACAACCAAGGCAACAAAGAGTACAAAAGTTAGTATAAGCATCTCCTCAACCAAGGCAACTGTTGTGGTTGCTGAAAACTGATGCACTATTATAGCGAATGTCCAACTGCTAATATAATCAATGCCGCCATTCTACTACCACCATTACCAATACTTTCTTCCACAAACAACCCTCACCTTTCTTCCAGTTTGAACATTTGGGTATTTCTTAGACAACCCAAAATGCATCCTCCGAAAAATACACTTGGAGACTCTCCGCTGAACACAACAAATAATAAGCACTTGCCAATTGTGTAGCCATCATCTACAATGTATTATACTGATCGCTAAAAGCACAATTTTACATCACATTTTGTGAAGGGGGAAAAAAAAGAAAAAAAACTATAGTTCTGATGTAAAACTACCCAAGCGCTTTACTGATTGATACGCAAAATAACAGAAAATGATAGTAAAAATCAAGCTGAACACAAATCCAACTAAAAGGAAAAAACACTCACATTTCCTCTAAGCGTGACAGCAATGCCTAGCGGTTGACCTTCCCTGATCTTGAAGGTAGCAATGGATGCCCTTGCTCGAGTCTTCACAGGTCTCTGCCCGGTAATAAGCGCAAGCTCATTCATTGCTGCTTCCAATCCCTTCGCGTTCTGTTGAGCATCTCCAATACCACAGTTCACTACGATCTTCTCTACCTTTGGAACCTAACCATTTCCACCAGAAAAATAAAAATTAAAAAAATTCCAAGTACTCAGTTAGTCTTTTACAATCATTTGATCTATGAAGCTGCTGAAATAACATGAAAAGTACAGATGCAGTCCAATTCCTTAAAGGAAACCTAAAAAATACAGGGATTGTTTTACTCTTTTCTAACGAAATAGCACCGTTGAATTTCAGGTCTCTTTTTATTCTTCTTTTTCTTGCACAAAAGAAAAACAGCTAAGAAAATTTAGGATCACATAGGATTTTTTTTTTTTTTTGCTCAGCGGTTTTCCTTTATTCTTTTGGACTACTTTATTAGTTTTCTAACGAAATGGTGTTTGGACTCTTTTTCCACTTCTTACACAGGAGAAAAACAGCAGAGAGAAAAAAAAAAAAAAACCCTGTTGAGATACTACTGCTTCTCTACTCTCCGTTTGTTTCCAGGATTCTGGTCTGATTCTTGATTAGCTATAATATTTTTCTCATAAAAAATTTAAATTTCAAAAATAAAAATCATCAGAACCCATTAACCAAATGTCACGTACATTTTCTTAACCCAACAAAAGCTAGAACCAAAATTCCCAAAATCGCACCACATAAACTATAAATTACCTCTATTGAACACTTGCTTCAAACGAAAATTGAAAAACGAAGCACGCCACAACCAAAAAATCAGCAAACGAACAAATATCGATCCATTAAAGAAATGCACATAGAATGAATGGGAAATCTTCACCTTTAGGACATTGGTGTAGGAAAACTCTTCCATGAGGCGAGGAACGATTTTCTCGAGGTAAGTGGTCTTGAGGCGGTTGACCTTCTCTGACTCCGTCTTCTCCACCAGCACAGTCCCCGTCGCCGCTGTCGCCTTCACCGCCAAGTTTCTAAGGTTTCCGAAATGAAACCGTACGGAAGGCGGAGGTGCAACCGCCGGGAAATGGCCATGAAACGACGACGTTGCGGAGCCTAAGAGCGAAGGGGACGCCATTGGAAGTGAGCTTTCGTTATCTCTCGCTCTTTCTCACACTTGCTCTCTCTATATCCGTCCTTGGTGTTAGTATGGGACCTGGTAAAGAGGCCGTGAGTTGAGATTTATTTACGATGATGCCAGAGAGGTGTTTTGTCCGTTGGTTTTTGTGTAAATTTGAGTAAGGTCAGGGGTAGTGCTGTTTGGGAGTTTTTTCTTTCAATATGAAATAGGATAAGGTAATGGGCGGTTTGGATGAAAATGAGACGGCATTTTTTACAAATTACTAGTTTAAGCCACATGGATTTTTTTCTTTTTTTTTCGGCTAGACTAGAGATTCATTCGAAACTCAGAAAGGCCAACAAAAGGAATAACCAGATCACAACACACAAAACGATTAGAGGTGAAAGTTCAGAGTCCTCAGCCCGGGCCTGAATAGAAAGTTTGAGAGAGGGACAACTCAGCCCAACTTTTAAGACTAAGAGAACGTTTAGTTGGAGGATTTAAACTATGTGATTCGAATTATTTTTGATTTACGTGAATTTTTTGTAAGAGAAAATACTGTAGCGAACCATGAATCATGATTCGAATCAGGAAACGAATCCCTCCACCAAACATCCCCTAAAAGGTTTAGGATCGATCTGACCCGACTCAAAATTTTATAGAGTGTTTTTTTTTTAAAAAATATTTAAAAGGAGAGCATTTGGGTTGAGTCAGGATGACCCGAATAAATTTTTGAGCTCGAAAAAAAATTAGTTAACAGTGATGGGTCACGGGCAAACCTAAATTTACGGCTCTAAAAGCAATAGACACAAAAGCAGCTAGACAACCTAGGAAACTAAGAGCGAAGAAAAAAGGACTGAGGCCCTTAATTGGGGAACCACTCCTCATTGTCCTCAAACACATTACAAGGAATATTAGAAATAGGAATTAACACTAGACACTGAACCGAGCCTTGCCCACTTTGCCAAGTTGTGAGCAGTAAAGTTTGTCCCAAGATTAATCTAGGACAGATGAAAAGTCTCGAAGCAGGGTCGAAGTCTATCACAATCGATTTTAATGTTTTGAAGAGCCTAAGGGTAGTTCTCTAGAGTTCCATTAAGAGCAGAAATCGCTAATGTCAAATCCCTTTCAATGGCAGCTGTCTTCAACTGATAGTTCTTTGCAAGCGAGATCGTGAATGAGTTGCTTCCGTTTCAGCCGCTGGAGCTTCCACTGACGTTGTTCTCATACTAACTGCAAAGATTATAGCACTATTTTCATCTTTTCCAATCGCAGATAACATATCTCCAGAATGGCCTAGGGGTATGTCAACATTTATCTTGGTCCAACCTTGAGGTGGAGCAGTCCACGAGAGCTTATCATCTTTTTTGTTATGCTGAAGATGTTGTACGTATTCAGTTGATTGTGCTGCTGCTGCATTGTATATGTCCACTGGGTTAGTGTACAAGACAGTATCATTCCTTTATGTTACTACGCTCGCTCTCTCTGATTCTCTTGAACCGAAAATAGTGTTGATCTATATTGCTTTTGTACGTTGGGTGATTCTAGTAAAGTAGATAGCAGATTTACCAACATTCACTTTCTGCCCTGTCCAAGTGCAGTACTTTTCCAAACACTTTCTGATTGCCCTTGCCATTTGAACGCCAACTCGACCAAACACAACAAGATCATCAGCAAAGAAAGCATATGTGAGCTCCGTGACACCTTTTGCTACCTGGACCCTTATAAATTCTCCATTTACATTTGCTTTCTCGAAAAGGCGCGATAGAACTTCGGTACACAAGATAAAGAGGTAGGGAGACAAGGGATCCCCTTGTCGAAGACCTCTAGACGAGATAATGTTACCGTAAGCTCCTCCATTTATAAGAACCGGGAACACTGGAGATTTTATGCACTTTATATCCACTCAATCCAAGTAGCACTAAACCCAAAACACCACATCACCTCTACCAAAAACTCCCAGTTAATTCTATCATATGCTTTTCCATATTGATCTTAAGGAACATAAGCTCTTATTTTCCTGTCTTCTTTTGCATCGTGTGAAGAACTTCCTGAGTACTAATTGTATTCTCAGCAATCATCCTTCCCGACACAAAAACAGTTTGTAGCGGCTAGACCAGTCTTAGGAGAAGGTTTTTCAAACGGGCAGCCAACAACTTCGAGATGATCTTGTAAGTAAAATTACATAGGTTGATTGGTCTATAATCATTTGTTGAATTACATTTGGGATTAAAGTAATGTTCGTTTTGTTGAAATTTTCTGGTAGGGCTCTTCTTCGAAAGAAAGTCTTAACACACTCCAGGACATCAACCTTAACAATTTTCCAGTAATGCCAGAAAAACATACCTGAGAAACCATCAGGACAGGGGCCTTACAAGGATCCATAAACCAAATAACTTCAGTAATTTCTGTGTCGGAAGGGGGAAGAGACTAGCCTTTCATTTTCCTCGGACCCGACAAGCGGAGAAATAAGGCCTTCTAGCTGCTCTGGCCAAGCGTTTCCTTCAGAAGTGAACAAAGTTGAGAATTTTTCAATGAAAGCGTTTGTTGTGCTCCTTCTGGAATCATGAACTCCACCTCTTTTGTCCTTCTTTAAGCTAATTCAGTTACGCATTCCCCTCACGATTGTGGAGACATAAAAAAAACCTGGTGCTTCTATCTCCATTTTTCAGCCAACATACCCGGGATTTTTGTTTCCAAAGCAGTTCCTCCTGGCCTAGTCAATCTTCCAAATTGCTCTTTAACGACCTCAGACTTTCAAGCGCCTCATCAGATTCACCAAATTGTTGCAGTCGATCTATCTCCTTTCTAGATTCCGCTATACTCTTCTGAATATTGTTGCCCAAGTGTTCTCTGTTCCATTTCTTCGCAGCTTCTCTGGTGTGAAGGAGTCTAGCTATGAGTTGTGACGGTTGTCTAACTTGAATTGAGAGGAAGATTTGAATGTGCATTTCTAAATATTAATTCGTTCATTTCATCGATTCAAGTTTTGCTACAGTAAAAAAACTCTTAAAAACCATCGTATTTAATTTTTTTTATTATAGTAAAAGGCTCTCATATAAAATTGCATCACAATTCTAATTAAAAATTTGAATTAACGAACTAAATTAACCATAACTTTGATTTCAATTTCAATTTTAACTTCAATCTATACACTCAACTCAAATCACAAACTGTAATCGGAACACATAGTTGTATAACTCTGATTTGTAATGCAATTTTTAAAAAAAGAATAAAAAAACCTCCCTATAATCAAAAAAGTTCACCCTGAATTCTCCTAAGCCAGAAAAAAAAAAAAAAGGAAAACAAGAAACCAAAATCAACACTAGGATGATGATTCCTTCAAACACTTCCGACGTTATAAATTTTTTTGGCACCAAGAGTGATTCAACACTTCTCATCACACATATATTGCCTTGCATTAGACTTTTTTTTTTTTTTTTTTTTTTGAGAATAGCATTGCATTAAACACATAAAACCACTTTTTTTTCTTTCTTTTTCTTTTGGCTGAAGACACATAAAACCAATTGTTAAAGCATTCTATTTCCTTACATATGCAGTTTTATTTTTGGTAGATAAAATTGCGATGATGTTGACATTAACTTTTTAGGACATATTTTTGAGATTATATGCCAACAAAAAGAAAAAAAGAAGAAATAAATTGAAGTTGATCAAAATTTTAAACACTTTTGTTACAAAAACCAAATAGCACTGTATTCGATGTCTATATATTAAAAGAGTAGAAATGGAGCCTCACTGTTCCTTTTTTAGTCATCCATTTCATACCCTTTGATGCTTTGGTTTTTTTTTTTTTTTTTTTTTTTTTTTTTTTTTGTGTTTTTTTTTTGGGTTTTTTTTTTTTTTTTTTTTTTTTTTCTTCTTCTTGTGATTTTTGTTTGGGCTTTTTATGATCTCTTTTTCTTCTTTCTTTTCTTTCTCTAAATTTTATATTTTGTAATTATCCTTTTTTTATACTTTTTCTCTTCATTTACTCCAATTAATTTATATTTTCAAACGTCATCCTACTTAGATATTTATTTCCGATAATGTTTTAATATATTGTTATAGGATTAATTTTAAAAATTCCTCTCATATTATGACCTTTTAATACTTTATCCCCTAAATTTTAAAAAGTAAAATCTGTTTCATCCGAATTTTGTTCCGTTAACAAGTTTTATCTTTCTGTTACAATGAGTGACAGAATTGCCACGTGTCACTTATTTAATAAGAATTGAAAGCGCAATTACGCTTATACCCTCCTAATCAAATAATTCTCCATTTTTATTGAAAAATTTCACCATTTTCGTTCCCATTTTGCTTCTTTTTTCTTCACCTCGTTCATCCATGACTTGTTCCAGCGTATCTACCTTCTCCTCCTCCTCCTCCACCCCTCCTCCTCCTCCTCTTCCAGGCCATAACGATTTCAACGGATATTTGAATGAGAATCAACGGCGTTGTCTTCTTCGTCGACATCATCGTCGTTGCCGTTGATTTCCCCACCATGAGGACTTCTCCGGCCACCAAGATCGGCGGCCTTATTGAATGAATCCATGTTTTTAGATACAAACTATCCATTTCTTCCTGTAATACTCTTGTTTCTGAAATTCTTCTGTTTTGTTTGGAATTTCTCTGTTCCTTACTATTTACAAAGCAAAGAAATGTGGAAGATTGTAATTGTATCAGTGTTAGACAAGCCTAACATAACTAAAAGGAAAAAATGTAAGAGATAGAGAGAAAGAGAGAGAGAGAGTTGATTATTATGCAGAGCAAGAAAAGGAGAAGCTTGATTTTTCCTCATATTTTTCTTTTTTGGGGGAAAAGTTCTAACCCTAACACAACAAAAAAATCGACAAAATGGGGTTTTTTTTAACGCATTTGAGTTTTTTTAATTGCTTTTTTAATAATCTAGGATTGTTACAGGTTAATTATGATAATATCCTCTTCAGATGGGTCATATACCTGACACGTGGTGATTTTCGTCACTTATTGTAACAGAAGGATAACACTTGTTAACAGAATAAATTTTGGAAGGAACGGATGTTACTTTTTAAAATTCAAGAGGTAAAGTGTTAAAATGGTCATAGTTTGAAAGGAATTTTTGAAATTAATCCATTGTTATATTAAAAATTATTTTCACAAATTCCTTTCTAACTGTCCCACTAAAACAAAATTTCTAAATATATGCCCCTGCTCAAAATTTTTTTCACGGCCCTTTCGACTAATATTATTGTACACGTATAAAGAGCCATCATGACTTTGTTATTCCGATTTTAGTTCACTATATATTAAAAGAGTAGAAATGGGGCTCACTGTTCCTTTTGTTTTTTTTTTTCTTTCTTTTTTTTTGTGCTTTTTATGATAACCTTTTCTTCTTTATTTTCTTTCCCAAATTTTTATATTCATTTACTTATCCTTATTTTTAACTTTTTCTCTTTCATTAACTCCAATTAATTTTTTTTGAAATGTTAGTAGATATTTCTTTCTGATAGTGCTTTAATATATTGTTACATTAAAAATTATTTTCACAAATTCCTTTCTAACTATCACACTAAAACAAAATTTTAAAAATAAACCCCTACTCAAAACTTTTTCACGGCCTTCTCGACTAATACTATTGTACACGTATAAAGAGCCATTATGGCTCTGCTATTCCTTTTTTAGTCTTCTAAAGCGAGTCGTTTTGACTCTTTTCTTTTTTTAAAAATGGTTTTGGTTCTTTGCTTCTTTCAACTTTTTTTTTTTTTTTTTTTTGGTTTCTCTTTTTGTTAATTTTTTTCCCTTTTTAAACACTTGAAATTAAAAAAAAAAAGTAATGGGCTAGCAAACAACCTAGAATATGGACCTATCAAATGTACATTTTTTTTCACTTTTTATCGTAATATAAATGTTAAATTCTACCTTATTCAAATAGTAAATGTTAAATATAAAAAGAGTGAATAAGGTAGAATTTAATGCTTTTTTTTTTTCACTTTTTATTGTAGTCATTTACACACTAATTTAATGCTTTTTTTTTCTCCTCGCTCTTTTCTTTGCTTGTTTTATCTTCTATTTTAACTCCTTTATTTTTCCTCTTGTTTTCTATAACTTTTTTGGTGCTTTTTAAAAAAAAAAACTTTTTATTTCTTTTTTTGTCGTGTTAAATCCTAATCCTAAGTATATAAAAAGTAAATATTTAGTTGTTGTACATTATATGGTAGTTCAAAACAATGAATTTTAGATGCTTTATTTTTTCTTTCATTTTTAAGTTCCAATCCCTTATATTTTTCTTTTGTTATTTTATAATTTATGTCCATCCTAAAAAATATGTGGTTTTTAAAATGGTAAGTTTTTAGGTGTTTTATTTTTTTCTTTTTATTTTTAAGTTTTAACTCATTTATTTGTTTATTTGTTTATTTTATTGTCTTATAATTTAGAATGTTTCACGTATTTTTATAATTAAACATAACTTTTTCACTTAAACTGTATGCTTGTTTTTTTATTAATGTATACTTGTTTTTTTTAAATTTTAAAAATGATCTTTGAGGAATTCAAACATTATATTTTATGGAGTTAAGTGTGAAATTTTCGTTATGACAAAAATACTACTTAAGTCACGTTTATTTTACGGATTTGAGTTTTGCTACAGTAAAAAGTTCTCTTAAACAATCACATCTAACTTTTTTACTATAATAAAAAGTTCTTACATAAAATCACATCTCAACTCAAATTAAAAATTTAAATTAGCAAATTAAATAAGCCCTTACTATTTTACTACTTAATATATACTATTTTTTAATCTATAAATAAAAATCATCATCTATATTTTTTTTACTTATTCTTGTTTGTATTTTACGTTATTATGAGATATTTATTTTCTGTATTCGTATATAATTCTGAATCATAATTTTTAATTTTTTATAGTATTTTTTTATGAGAATATTTTTAAATTATGATTCGGAATGAATTAATGAATTAAAGATCCCGTTCACTTCGCTGATTCGAGTTTGTAATTTGAGTTGAGATGTGATTTTATGTGAGAGATTTTTACTGTAGTAAAAAAGTTAAATGTGATTATTTGTGAGAGCTTTTTACTGTAACAAAACTCGAATTCTAAACTTAAATTGGTGAAGTGAACGGGATTATAACTAAATTGTGAGTAAAGAAGAGAAAAAATCTTCTAAAAAATTGAACTTTAATTAAAATTTCATTCTCACGTCCTCTATTTTTACGCGCATGATAATTGGTAGTTCTCTAGCGTACACTAATAACAGATCTTCGTGCATTCACTTGCGAAACAGCGCGTGAAATTGGTTCTAAATCTTATCAATTATTATTATTATTTGTTTCTTTTTTCTTTTCATCCTCATCGATGTGAAGGTGAAGAGAGAGAAAGAATTGCAAGAGACCCCTTGCCCTGTTTGTATCTCTCTCTCTCTAACTGAAACTTTCTCTCTCTAATCGATCGAACGTTGAACCAGCTTAGAGATCGTTAACCGCAATCCTAATATCTTCACTGTTTCTCTCTCTCTCATTCGGATCCAGGTTTTCTCTTCGGAAGCTCGTGGAGAAGAAGAACTCGAAAGAGGAAAAAGAACGAAGACGAGAAAAACCCTAGAATTCGTTTATGCTTTGTTTTCATGGTATAACAGATGATTGTTAGGGAGCTACTTTTTAGTGGGAATTTAACGTGATTTTTTTTTTATTTCTAGGAGAAATATTCGAGTTTAGATTCGCAGGAATGTTGATTCTGTAGATGTACATATCTTCTTCGGAGTTTGAATTCGGAAGATTTTGGGAAAGTTAGAGCTGTTTCTGATTGTTAGGGCGTAATCAGATGGATCAAGAAATGGAATTTTCTTGGCTTTAGGGTTCGTAGTTAGTTGATTGGGATTCTGTTAATTTTGGTTTGGTCGGGATTGAGGAATCGGTTTGGATGCGTTAAAGGGATTATGAAGAGGAGAGTTTGAAATTTCTTCGTAATAAATTGTGTGGTTTACTTTACCAAAATGATTTTACTGGATTCGAAGAAGGAACTAGAATAATAGATTTGAGTACATGTATTTAGGCTTTGGAGCTTTTTGTCGAGATAGAAAGTTGATTTTGGATGGTGATTGCTTGAGATGGTTTCTGGATTTTCGCCAGTCGATTCGGCTTGAGTTGTGAGTTCGTGAAAGTTGGTTTTCAGTTTTCACGATTTAGAGTGCTAATCATTAAGCACAAGCTAATCGGCTTTCATTCGAGTGTTGTTTGTTTGAAGAATTTTGCAAAATGAGCTCAGAGGATGATGAAAAACACTTACCAGACCAGTTTATCGAATTGAACGACGAAACACATAAGTAATACACTTGGGGGTTTTTTTTTCCTGTAATTTGGTTTTGTTTATGTGGGCTTTGACCTTCAATATTTCGTTATTCTTAACTATTTTGTTCCTTTTTTTCTTTTTGGTTGAATGCTTCAGGAAGTTAAGAATTTCATACACGAGAGATTTCCTGTTGTCATTAAGCGAGTTAGATGTTTGCAAAAAGTTGCCTAGTGGGTTTGATCAGTCACTTTTAAGGTAAGAAGATCTCTCTGAGAACGATGAATGATGATCTTCTTATGCATATTTTGTTTCTTCATGTAGTGGGAACTGAGTAAAATATAGTTTAGTGCTGCTTTGTTTGTGAAGCATGTTGTGGCTTGGTCTTAATGCTTGTATTTTCTTTTTTTCTTAATTAAATCAGTGAATTTGAGGATGCTTCCCAGGACCGGCAGAGAACTTCTGGTGGTTTATCATTAAATAGTTTCAGGCGTAACGAGTATGGTTCATCCCCACCCACTAGAGGTGATTCGTCTAGTTATTCTCGGGGAATTCATGGAAGATGGGAAAGTCGTTCTTCCGGAAAAAGTGACAGGGATAGCGACTCCCAATCTGACTGGGATGCGGGTAAGGTTTTAGATAAAGCTATGCTGATACTGTTGTGATTTCTCCAAGCATATATCTGACTATTTGCTGTTTAATTCTGTTTATACTCCTATATAAGGGTGAAACTATGTTTGGCATGATTTTTTATTCCTTTGTGGTAGTATGGCTACGCCAGTCATTATGTTTGGCATGAGTTTCTCATCGGTTCTTCTGATTATCATTAGTGTTTTGTCCTGAAGAATCTCTTGGCGGTCAACATATTATGGCGTAGCAATAATTAAATTGATGATTTTATCTGTTTCTAAAAGTGTTATATTGATGCTTTCACCATCAAGAGGAGAAGTTGCATACTTGCATTCAGCCAACATATCCTTCCATGAAAATAAAATTAATTTCTAAAAAAGACAGCCATTGACAAATATATCCAGCACGGACAATGGAGGTTGTTAGCAACAGTGCTTACCAGAGCTCACGTGTTTAGTGGCCGAATAACTATAAGAAAGCTTATTATTAAACCAACCAATAGGTTACTTCGAAATGATGATGATGATGATGATGATGCCCAGACTCTGCAATTGTTGGTGAATAATTAAAGATACGCGCACCCTCTCACTTGAAGGTGTATAAGTTGGCAACCAATTTATACACTTTGCCCATCTTAATTTTTACTGGAGAATTCTTAGACTTCTTCTATGGTATGTAGTAGAAGCTATGCTCAATCTGTCAGCAGCATCATTGCCCATCTTAACTTATATCGTGCTAGACTGTTTTCATAAAGCATTTGATCTGTGGAATTCTTTTTTTATACCTATTGGATTTATCTTATTTATATGCAGATTCTGGAAGACGATATGGCAACCAACCTAGGCGGCCTTGGCAGGTTCCTGAGCATGATGGGCTTCTAGGCAGTGGTTCATTTCCAAGACCTTCTGGGTATGCTGCAGGGGCATCGGCAGCAAAGGTTAGACCAAATGAAAACTACCAGCTCAGCAGAAGCAATGAACCATATCAACCTCCACGCCCATATAAGGTTTGTATTTTCTATTCATTTACTTGTGAAAAAGATTTCAAATTACAACTTCAAGCCGGAAAAAGTCCGAAACAATGATTGTGATTTAAATTTTGTGACACTTCCAGTTTGATTTTATCTGTTGAATGTGTATAATGCAATTCTGCAGATGATTAATCTTGGAATAAAAATCATTTCGGATAGACCTCCCTTGATGTCCCATTTTTGTTAACCGATTTTCAGGCTGTACCTCACTCACGGAGGGAAACCAACGACTCATACAATGATGAAACATTTGGTTCTTCCGAGTGTGCAAGTGAGGATAGAGCAGAAGAGGAAAGAAAGAGAAGAGGTAATTGTTATTATCTATATTCTCGCCCTTTTTTTTTTTTTTTTAAACAGTCTTACAGACTTCTATAGTTGGCCATATATGGTTTTTTCTCTCAATTGAAAATGAGTTTACATATGACAACTTTCCTCGCAGCTTCTTTTGAATTGATGAGGAAGGAACAACATAAATCATTTCAAGAAAAACAGAAATCGAATCTTGATAAGAATAAAGATGATTTCGACTTTTCTACCCTGATTGAAGAGTCAAAGGATGACAAGAGATCTGTGAAGAGAAGCAGCGAGTCAAATCTGGCTTCAGGTCATGATCCTGAAAAATATTCTGCTCCTTCACAAATTCCTGCATCCAGACCACTTGTACCCCCAGGTTTTACCAGCACAATTTTGGATCGAGCAAAATCTTTAAACCATTCCCATGAAGCGGAGGTAAGTCATGTATCTGGAAGTTGGTTAGTCATGGATGTTAACTTTTGCTTTAAGTAGAGTGTAGCTTTGGGATTCTTATATAAATCACAGTGAATCATATCTGGGTTCTCATCCTTTTATTTGATTGTGACATGTTATTCATATTTCCTTAAAACTTGAAACTCACAACCGTGACTTGTTTTCAGTGTAACAGTTTATTGAGATTAGTTGATGTATAAAAGCCACACGCTGTACATGGTTATTCATATAGTTGAGATTAATTGAACTTTGTAAACTCATTCCTCCTGTGTAACTGGAAAGTTCTTAGAAACGAATAATCACACGTAAATGAGGAGTTTGCAAATTTTATTTGTTAGCTGGGAATCTTGAGGGATTCAGTGGTTATTATTTGTTTTTTTTTTTCTTTCTCCCTTTCTGTTCTTACTAGATTTTATACGCTCAAGATCTCTAAGCCTTTGTGCTGCTACTTTTGCATACATATATATTGGAGATCAGTGCTTCATACACACAAGGTTCTGTTTATAAAATTTCTTACATTATTAATGGGGATTTTGATTTTAGAGAAATCATTTTAAACCATAGGAAAATTCAAAGTTCCGTTATTCACCTATTTTATTGTTAGGAACATTCTCTAGTTCAAGAACTTTAGTCGCTTGTACCTTGCTTTGCTTTAATAATGGTAAACTTATCTGTATTTTGTAATATAGTTATGATTGTTGATCATTACAGTGTGTAATCTAGCTTCTCCCTCTTGATGAAGTAAGCTTTCGTAAATAGTGAACCTATGCTGAGAATTATATTTTATCCCCTGTCATAGTTTACTTTCCTTTACTCACGGCACTTCTTTTACTTATCTGTAGGTTGGAAGTCTTGAAAGTGAGGACAATCTTTTGCATGGAAGAAGCAACACTGTTGTAAACTCAACTTCTAATGATCTAGAGGACAAACAATTAGCTGAAGAAATAGATTTAAGGAAGCAAAAGCATGAAAGTGTGAGTAGCCATGCTTCAATTAATAATCAAAACAGAAAGGGTCCAGGTTTATCATCTTTCTTAGATGCTTCTGATAAAACAGTTGGCACTAGTAATATATTGCGCGACAAAACTCATGCCTCACAAGTGTTTGAAGCTTCAAGCACTAATGAAGTTGAGCTTAATGTTGAGAAGGTAAATGGGTCTTCAGTTTTGGGTGAGTCCAATCAGGGTCATCCTACCTCAATCCTAGATAAGCTTTTTGGCAGTGCGTTAACACTGAGTGTTGCTGGCTCCTCCAGTGTTCTTGAGGTAGTTTCTATATCTAATTGAATCTGTTCTTTACGATTTGTATTTAATTTCTCTTTAACCATTATATATTGTTATTCACAGTATTTTTTTATATATTAATAAATAGTACTTGTTGCAAGTGTTCCTATTATTTACAGCTATAAGTTGTTTTAAATTACAAGTATATTTTTCTCTTTTTGCCATTGTGATGGATGTTCTCATTGTTCTTTAGTTCTTTTTATAACTAATGCTATGTTTGGTAGAGGTGAAAAGTGGGAGGAAAGAAAAGAGTGGAGGGATTTTTGAAGAGAAAATATAATTCTAGATTGTTTAGTAGGAAGGAAAAGGGAAGGGAAGAGAAAAGTAGAGAAAAAAAAGGACCCATGTCTCCCACCATTTTTTACCTCTCCAAAAGTGGAGAGATTTTTGGAGAGAACCTGTCATCCTTGCATTAATATTTAAATTACCTCTGTCCTTAGTTCTAAATTATAGTTGTATATTAAGAAGCTGAAAATTATAACTATATTGTTAGGATCCTAGACTCAAAAGCAATGATATACCAGCAAGAATTGGAACGGGAACCAACTAATAGCTTCTTTATTGAATATTAATCAATTTACTAACATCAGTGAGCTCAACGAAGCTCCAAATCGGCAGGAATGGAAAATACAGGAAAATAAAGATAGAGAGGGATTTTCGAGGAACCCCACAACCTCCCAAGCTAACAGCCGAAGCACCCCAAAGGCCTCGATCCTTCCCCAAATACTCTCCCCTCCTCTAACCAACTTCCCACGTCAGCAACTCCCACCTTCAGCCAAACTCAAATCCCCAGAAGAGCCATCCACGCTCACCAAGCCCACTTCCTTGGGCTGAACTTCACTATTCGGGCCTGGGCCCATAGCATCCCCCCGCTCGGCCCTCCTTACATAGACTTTCCGTACTGGAGGTCTAACATATATTAAATAATTGGCAAAATAGTGATTAGTCGAACACCCATTTTCTTTCATCATATCTCTCACTAAACAAGATAAGGGAAAACCAACTTTCTTCTTCTCATTCACATTTTCTCTCCCTTTTGTGTTTTTTCTCCGTCCCTTCTTCCTTCTGTCTTAATCAAACAGGGCATAAAGGTTAATTCTATTGTCTTCTTGTATCAAGCCTACATGAGACCTCCATCTACATTTGTCCCTGCCAAGGATACAGTGTCAAAATGATATGTCATGTGTATATAGTCCTTACCAAGTGATTTGAAAATCATGTTGTTGGGTCATGTATGCATTGATTACATGCATTGATCTATATGCCTTGCTTTTTTGAGTCCATGCAACTTTATTGGCTTTAAGTCATTAGAAATGTTTGAGATTGACTAGTCTCTTTTGCTTCCATGATAGCATCATAATAATGAAGTAGACAAGGCACAGAGCCCTCAAATCGCCCAATCTTCGAAATTCGCCCATTGGTTCAAGGAAGAAGGTTTGCTACTATTAATATTGGAGTCAAGTTTTCTATGCTTCAAACTTGAATTGTTTTTACTTGAAGCACTAACAAATGTTTTGTTGTTTCCATTTTATTGCAGAAAAGAAACCAGGCAATGATCAGTCATCTGGGCGGCCAAATGACTTGCTGTCTTTGTTAGTTGGCAGTGAAAAAGATGGATCCCGAGTTTCTGGGAGTAAAAATGAGAAAAGTTTACCCAACTTTCCCTTGCAAAACTCTGAAACTGCAGACAAGCTTGTGACATCGGATGTTATATCTGCTCCAGTAGGTAGTTTTGACAAGTTGTTCAAGGATAATAAACCAGAGCCAGTTTCTGCAGTCCTTACATGTGAAGATCTTGAACAGTCGATCCTGTCAGAAATTAGCGAAAATGGTTCAGTCGCACTGGTACCTGTTCAGAGCTGGACTGACCCTGATGGAAAGACTGAGCCGCCAAAAGCTGATAATCTTGCATCCCAGCACCTCCTTTTGTTACTACACAAGGGGACTACTGTGAAAGACGCGGAATCATCCTACAATCTAGACACCTTATCTTCTGACAATCTTCACGACATTGAAGAAGCTACTATTGCCACTGCACTTCATAGCTCAAGTGAGGCTAAAGCCGAAAATATTTCTCACTCAGCAAAGTCTCTTACTCTTGAAACACTTTTTGGGTCTGCTTTTATGAAGGAGTTGCAATCAGTTGGAGCTCCAGTTTCCAGCCAAAGGGGCTCTATTGGACCTGCAAAAGTTGATGTTTCTGAACCCCATGGATTTCCTTTTCCTGTGGCGGATAATCTCCTTCCTTCTTCAAATGACATTGGATTTAGCACTCCTGCTCATGAGAGTGGTGTTCTGACAGCAAATAAAAGGAAGCAAACCAAAATCGATCAGATTGAGGAGCAATGGTTAAGCTTCGATGACACTCAAGCTGAAATAAATACGTCACAGCTTCGAGCCAACTTTGGGTCTAAGGTTGGTGGCTTTGATGTGCCTGCTGATGTTCGGTTTCCTGAAGAAGATAGCTTGATTACCTCTAGTGATCCTCTAAACCTTGAAAACTTTATGCCGCCTGGAAGTATGGTTAAATCCGAGCTGCTGTCCTCTTCAAATGTACCAGTTGACTATGCTGAAAAGTTAGCAACCTTCAATTCTGCCTTCAGAGATGAAAGATCTATCCGGGGAGGTCAAGAACCCCCATTTCTTCGTGGTCCTTATGATATGAGGGAGTCCAGCAATCCTTATCAGAATCTTAATATTCAACCATCTTTTCCACAGCATCATCCTTCCCAACTGAATAACAACATGGGACCATTGTTCCATCATTTAGATTCTCATCCTGTTAATATCAATTCCCAAATGAAGTTTATGGCTCCAGAAGCTGTAACCCATCACGATCCTCCCCAAAATCACCAAATTCCTATGAATATGCTTCGTCCGCCCTTTCATAGTTCCGGATTATCTGGATTTGATCAGCCCATTCATCACCCTATGCTGCAGCAGATGCACATGCAAGGCAATTTCCCACCTAACCTGCTTCAAGGTTTACCCAGGGGTCCATCACTACCTCCTCATCTTAACCGGAGTGCGCCAATGTCTGCTCATCCAAACTTCGCTAGTCTTGGGATGCCGCAGCCAGGTAAAATGTTGCCTGCACAAATCTTGTTCCCTCTTTCCGATTTTAAATGAGTCATCATTTTGTTTATGTTCTATTGCATTGCATTGTTCCAGTGGCTTTCGCAGGTTTTTTCCACTTAATTTTCATTCTAGTTAAATCCTTCGTTGACATGTGCTTAAATTCTTACCAATGGCCGTACCTGGAATTGTCTTTTCTTTGAATGATTTGAGACCAAGTATGTGGCCTTTCAAAGTTTCTCCTCTCCAAGTTTCCTTTCCAAGTTCCAAAAACTTGCACGCCTTTCTCCCTTTTGAAGTGACAATTAAGTTCATTGATGAAACACCTTAAATAATTTCTGTTTCCCAGAAGCGCACATATCTTGCTATTATCTTTATTTACAAGATTTCGTTCTTTACCGTCGTCTCCTATATGAACTAAGCGAAATAAACTTTAGTAAATTATAAACTTTGGTTCAGACTATGTGACTGCTTATGTAGGTTAGGTTTGTCTACCTACAATTTAGCTCGTTTGTGAATTTCATGGAGCTGAATTTTAGGGACTATTAACATCTGGTCATGACTTGTGTTGTGCCAGAATTACATTCATTCTTATTGCGCTCTTTGTTTATTGTTATTCTTGTAATTTTCAGCTCATGATGTTGTTGGGGGAAGCAATCATCCAGAGGCATTTCAAAGGCTTGTCGACATGGAACTTAGGTCGAATGCAAAGCAGGTTCATCCTTTTGCAAGTGCTGGACAAAGTCATGGGATATACGGTCACGAGCTGGACATGGGTCTTGGGTTTAGATAGCAGAATTGTGCTTGTGCTTGTGTATATCACTGTATTCTCACCGTCTTCTGCTCGGATCTTCAACTCCTATCATGGGAGATGTTTCTTTCTTCTTTTTCGGGGTTGGGGTGGGAGTAGAAGGGAGGAGGGCATGTGTTTCCTTTTTAAGCAGGATTGGTGGCACCAGTGTAATTAATGGATTTTTTTTTTTTAATTTTCACAATCGGCATATTTACTGCATTCCGTTGATTTCTTCGTTTAATTTGGAAACTGAAGTGAGATAATAATCAACATAAAAATATCGGTATCAATTCAAATATCAATAATTAAAGGGAGGAAATTTCGACAGATCGGTGAAAATTGATAATTAACATTACATACATAAAGTAGGCAAAATTATAAAATACTATGATGAATATACAAAGTAATAAATGGTATACAAGCAATGTAGAATGAGTATATATGTATTTTGTTATAATTAAAGAAATGTTTTAGAATATCGATTTGAACTTTTCTCAATCTATACTAACAATAAAAGTGCTGCTAAATCCGTGCGAATTGATTTGGGTTGAACTAAAAGGGAAAGGAGAGAGATACTCAGTGTGTGAGTGAATTTTTACTTTATTCATGATTAATGTCTTTTTTGTTCAAATAATTATATTAGAAAAAGAGTATTAATTAAAGAATAAGAGTAAAAATTTAAATTTATGTTAAGTTTGATAATTTTCTCTCCAAGGTAATTGGTCTATTGGCAATTAAGAGACTTGCCCAATAAATCAGTGGGAATAATTTCAATATAATTTGGGATTAACTCCAAAAATTCCCCCTAAATTACACTCATGTAATACTTTGTTTCCTAATCTTTAAAATGTAACATCTGTTCCCTCTAAATAATGAAATATTAACAAAAAAAAGCCTTTCTATTAGGTTTTTAAAAACTGATATTTAATTTGTTATTTTGAGAGTATTTTGATAATTTTATGATTTAAAATTTAATTTGAATCTAAACTAATTTAAATATTAAAATTTTTATTCTACAAAAAAAAAATCATAATTTTTTTAACTTACATTCAATCAATAATGAATGTATCACAATTAAAAGTTCAAATTCAAATTAATTTTAAATTCAAACTAAAATTTTAAATCATTGAGCTACCAAATATCTTAAAATGATAAATTACATGTCAATTTTCTTTAAAAAAAACCTGACGGAGGGATTTTTTTTATTAATATTTTATTATTTAGAATGATCGAATGTTACGTTTAAAAAGATCAAAAGGAATCCTATATTTGTATAACATGTGTAATATTGTTGAAGATGAAGCGAATGTTCTTTTTAACACTACCATAAATCCCATTTTACACCAAAAGACAAGAAATTTCAACTTACATATACGAAGAATAATTACGTAAAAGGTACCTCGTCTCCTTTCCATATTGTTTCAGTAGGAATCTATTTGAGGATTTTTTTTTTTTTTGTTGTTTTATTAATTATTATTTTGATAATTAGGTAGTAGGAATCTATTTGAGGATTTTTTTTTTGTTGTTTTATTAATTATTATTTTGATAATTAGGTAGTCTAAATCACTTGAGAGACGTTTGGTTAGAGAATTCAAATCATGATTCATAGTTCACTACAGTATTTTCTCTCATAAAAATACACGTAAATTAAAAATAGTTCTAATCACATGATTCTAATTCATAAACTAAACGTCTCCTTAGTCGAGCAACGATTCACAACATACCACATTCCAGAAACCAATTTACAAGATTCCATATCAGGAGGAACTGCAACCCTTTATGGCAGGTACTTGTTCTTTTTCTATTATTAGGCTCCAACTACGCAGCCCACAAAACAAACTTCTGATAGCAATCCATCTAATTTAAACACAAATATAGCAAATTTCACAAACCATATACAATCAAACACCTGATGGCGATACACTCATACCTCTATACAAGATAAGCCTCTGAAACAAATCTAGTACAAGTGAAGTAGATAATTTACTACTATCCCTACATTACTGGAAGACAAAAGGACACAGTATATACATGATAAGACACAAAAATGAAGCTGGTCCCTTTACAAGCTTCACTTCACCATGAGAGACCCGTGGCTACTTAAACCTCAACTATTCAAACATATATACAGAGTGTTAATGCTGTTGTTGTTGTTAGAAAACACATCTCATAGCTAGTTCCTTTATCCTGGCAGATGGAACTTGGAGAGCAGCGAGTTACAAACGTCGACTTCTTAAGCCGATAGGATCACATTCTCCGATTTGAAAGGGAAGCTACACGCGCCAACGGTTTTGGCCCTTTCCGCATCAGCATCATAAGATGAAAGCAACCTTCTCTGCAATGATACCAAAAATAATGAGAAACTCAAGACTTTATAATCTACTAAACTGGAATGCTATGTCAAAGGTAAAGAAAGGTGAAAGCATGTAAAGGCTATGAAGGATTACATAAAATTTTAAGCAAGATGCAAGATGCAAAAGACGCAGGAAAAATAATCAAAGTGCATCAACTTCAAAATCAGCACTCTCAATGCAAGATGCAAAAGAGGTAGGAGAAAGGACAAATTCCAACAAAATGAAGAGGCAGCACTTCATCCTGCTGGGAAGAGGCATATGCAAATCATCAAATCAGCCCATCCAATGATGACATTTCACTTCTTAATGGCGTGGACATGATAAGAATCCCTCCATAACCATAAGGAGTCTAAAAGCATGCTTAAAATGCAGACCAAGGGCAAACTAAGCGGAAAGCTCCCAATTTAAATTGCGACTGAGATAATTTCTTTTTGACGAGAAACGTAGAAAGATTTCATAACAAAATGTCGCGAAAGAACAAACGAGAATAGGAGGATATCTGCCAAGAAGCAAAGGAAAGAATCATACTTCTATGCAGCATTACGCTTGACAATGATATAAGGGGGATCTTGATTATAAATAAATAATATAAAAAAGGATAAAGGAGGGACAGTAAAGCGAGCATTCCATCTCGCATCTCATGCATATGTTGCATTGTTTATCAATGATTAATAATAATGATAATGATTTTAGCTTCAGAATGGCTGGTGGGGGACTTAAATGCGAGCCAGAGTAAAGATTGGGTACGGGACAATACTATCAACCTAGAGCTGCACGAATCATTTTGTTACTAGCTAGTGTACGGAGTAAATTTGCTAAAACTTATGTATTAAAACCTGAACCAAGTTCAATTGACAAAGTGTTCAAACGGTCCAACACTTGTACAAAAACAATGCGACATAATGCACCAAAAGAAGTTCAGTTTGGCAGCCAGCCAAACAAAGACAAGTCTGAATAGGCAATAGCTGTAATCTGTGCGGCTGAGTGTGTTTATTTGGAGGGAGCGACAGGAGGAGGGAGGGAGTCTGCCTTTGGACCCACCAAATTCAATCGTTCCATTGGAAGGAGTCAAGACCTTAAAGTCTAAAAAGACTATTTTACCTTCCAAAAGGATTAACAAATAATAAAATAGGCGATATAGCAACTAGACAAACAGCTACTTTCCATCTTTCTCCTCTCCATACTTCACATTCCCCATCCTGCCAATCTATTCATGCTTTCTACTCTCCGTCCCTCCAAACCAAACGGAGCCTTAAACTTGGCACCTCGTTGCAAAACTTTCACAGAAAAGTAAAAAAAGTACTAGACTTTCAGACGACATGCAGAATGTTTCATGGCCTACTTTATTCTAACAGCAACCAATATAACATCTCCTAAACAAGGATAACAGCTTGATAATAATGGGAGAGTTGAAGCCATTTTTTGTTTTGTTTCTGTTTGTTTAAAATATAAGAAAAAAATACTTGGTCACCCCTACAGGAGAAACATATTTTAAGTCATGACATGACATTGAGCACAAAGCCACATGAAAAAAATACAATCTTAATGCACTACATGCATTGTGCCATCAAGCTATAATAATGCTTAAAAATGGCAATGTTAAGGGAAACAAAACTCACATGATGCTCAAACTCCGGACTCACCAAATTAATTGAGAGGTTCCGCATCAACAACAGCGCCTGGGAAAAGACCAGATAAATCATTTGCCTCAGGAAATAGAAAACGAGACAATATAAAATATAGGATTTTCTTTTTAATAAATAAAAAATGACTTGGTAAATCCAAATTAATGGTATCTAAATAACATACCGTTTCCAAATTTATTGGATTCATTTGTTTCAATCTCTGCAAGTGACCAGTCTCATTAGGGTCAAAGACACTGCCAATGAAACTATACACTTGAGCAAAATCCGGCATAACTGCAAAATCATGAACTAAAGTTAGTTACCAATTGAAGTATTAAAAGTTTCCAAGAAAGACTCCAGAAGTGTATAGAATACAATACATATTAGTACTTTATCGAACATATGGACCACCGTTGTAGATGAAAGGCAAAATATCGTTTAATTGATTGAAGGCATACAACACTATAATATTTGATGCAGAACTAGGGGAATTGATGTAGAATTAGGGGAAGAAAGGGAAATAGAGAATACAATGAGGGAGAATTTAGAGAGAATGAGGGAAACAGCAGAGAAATTAGGAGAATTAGGAGAAGCATGAGGGAGAGAGTAATTCTGAAAATTCAATATTCATTTCATAGTCTGAATTATCTTCTAACAAAGTAGCCAATTGTAGGCTAATTACGTTATCAAAATTGGAAACTAAATATCCTAAATTAAATGCATTAAAGCAGAATAAAAAATCAATCCTGATCAACCAAATGAATTCCCCGATCAAGGAAATCAATCCCAACAAATCCTAATTAATGTGATCTGGCATCATTATTCTTCTTCTTTAGTGTAAAATGAGATGATCAACTTCATGGGCAGCATTATTTATCAAAACAAAATGCACATATTCATAGCATGAAGATCAGAGAAACTTTGTCAAGAAAACGACATGAACTTTGTAGCTAATTCATTTAAGACAAACGAGACAATTTACGATAACTAAGGGCCAAAGAGAAATGACAAATTTGTCATTCAAATATGAAAGTTAAAGTCTGAAGGCCCGTATTCAATCTCACCCTATTTAAGAGGCTAGCAAAAAGGTCACCAGTTTATGCTTTTTTCAATGAAGTATACTCGCATAAGTTTATAAACACGCATATTTTTCAATATCATTAAACGAAAAATTTAAAAAGATCAGTTACCTCTCATCGTCTTGGAGTGTAACCTAGGATCAATTGTTTCACTGGTTTGCCGAGTCCTTGGAGTGCTTTCAGTACTACTGCTATAGCAGGAATTATTGGCAGCACCTGGAACAAATAAACCTCCATCATCTGAAAAAACAACATAATTACTGTCACAAACGGAGTTATTAAATTTAAATGGGCTATGAAGCCAAAATTTAGACAGTAAAAATAGAGTAGAATCAACTGAAACCTTTGGTCACTTGTGCGACATTGACTGGTGGCACCGAACCATAATTCCAAGAAGACAATGTGGCACTGGTTACGGGATTTCCAAGCACAGATGATGAATCTGGCCTGTATATATATTCAGGCTCCAGCGAAGCAGTGGAGGATTGAAATGGCCCAGTAAGATGAGCAACATTTGGAGCTGCCAGAAATGCTAATGAGAAGTAAGTATTGAAGGAAGAAAAAAGTACGCATATGTTAACATAGATATCAACTACACGCACCATTTTTAGGGGCTTTTTGTGGGTACGGGTGAGCAGCTTTCCGCTTTGGTCGAGGGGGAGGTACATGTTCACTGGTCCCACTCTTCTGGACTTTCAGAAAGTACTTTTGTGCATGGCTACGTATCTATCAAAGTACACAAAAGTTAAAAGACTGCAAAAACTAAATGCTCAAAAACAAAGACAATGGTAAGCAGAAAGTAGGCACAAGATCTCCATGTAGCTCTAAGGTTATGGCTCCAACAAGTAGAACTATTACAAATATAGCCAGGATACACTAGAAATAGTCAATAAAGTATTCTGCCATGAACCACAGCTTTCATTGAGAGAAGTTACAAAGAACTTTCAAACTTCGAGCACAGAAGTACGCCAACCTCTACACAGAGGATAAGAAAAGTACCTGAATAACTGTTTTTGAACCAATAAATGCTTCAATCTTCTTCCAGTCACGATCAAATCTGAACAAGTCGAGCAAAAAATAACCAAAAAAAAAAAAACGCTTTAATCAATACGCATGACCTATAGGCTATAAGCTATAACAACTATACAATAGAAAAATCACACAGTGGGTGGCTCATTAGTTTTCAATTTACATTTTGTCAAATATTAAGAGGAGATTATGAATCATAGATCCTAATGAAATAATGAATAATTTTAAAATCTGATCAAACAAAATAAGAGACTGAAATAAATAAATAAATAAAGCTGTTTCACTTGAGCATTATTGTGGATGTGCTATTCATTTCGTATGAAAGAGATGGATTTATCTAAGCACTATTATTACTTTCAAATAGTCTACATAAACGCTTACTTGGTTGTGAATAGCAATGAACTTTTAATGGATAAACAAAAATTCTAGAAAATCTCGCCATACCAAGAGCAAAGTTTTACTCTACAAAAAATATTGCATTTTATTTACAAACCTAAATAAATAAATAAATAATAAAAAAGATACAATCTCACGATATACCACACCAGTTTATTGCTTAAATTTACTGACATTTCATTTCCTCAATCCAAAAGCCGTCCTATAAATAGCTTTAGATTATTAGCAATTATCAAACAAAACCCCAAAACCAAAGTATCAGATCAAAAATACCCAAAAAAAATAAAACCTACTTCTCAATGGCTTATCAATCAAAGCGAAAAAGGAAAAATATTTTTCATCAATTATCGCACATAATTCACACACAAAAAAAAGAGAATTTGTATATACTCATCGCCGACTTACAATTGGAGAGCTTCTAGAAACTTGTCGTGCTCTTGCTCCGTCCAGCTCTCTCTAGACTTCGTGATCGTGTACGGCTTCCGGATCTTCTTGCTCGGATCCTCCGTCAACGGCGCCGAATTAACAGCCGCCGTCGCCGAACCCGCCGATAAGTTTGCCGGCGCCGTCGGCGGAGGCATGGAATTGAGGCCCGGGAGGCCCATATTCATGGGATTGAAGAAGTGAAACCCTTGCGCTGGGTTCGGATTCACGGACACCATAAACACCCCTTCAAAGCTTTACTCCAGAAAAAGCAGACAGGAAACCAAACCACCACACAAAAAAACTGCTTTCAATAAATTGACAAAGAAAATGTTTTGTTTTTTGCAAAGTTCGAGTTTTTATTTTTATTTTCCGTTGTAGTAATCTGTGAGCTTTGTTTTGCTGATTTGTGGGGTTTCTTTGGAAAGTCGGACAATGACAACTACAATCCGAGATGTGGTTTATAAAACCCAACCAACCGCCTTTGGCCTATATATGTGACTAATATATATATATATATATATATATATATACATGTGTGTGTATATGTATTGATACAGAGAGAGGGAAAAATTCTTGGGGCACGAAAATTGGTATTACTGGAATGGGCAACCGTACACGTGGTGGGATTAAGTTATGTTGATAGTGACCTACGGTATTTGTAGGTAGGGGCAGGTGGCAGTTTTATGAATCATTTGTTAAAATTTTTTATATTTGTAGGCATTATGGTCTCGTTCATTTCACCGATTTGAGTTTTTAATTTTAAGTTTTTGTAATAAAAAACTCTTAAAAAATATCACACCTAACTTTTTTTGCTACAGTAAAAAACTCTAAAAAAATGTCACATCTAAACTCAAATTAAAAACTTAAATTCGCAAAGTGAACAATGCCTATATAATTGTAAATTTGGGGTCAAACAATACCTTACCACTTAAAAATTAAAAGTAAGGCAGATTTTCTAAAATATAGGTCAAGTTTTTTTTTTAATTATTAAATCTACGTATATTTTAATTTTTATGTGATTTTATTTAAATTTAACGGATAAAAAATTTACTTTACTAATATGTTAACATACTGAAAATTTTTTTAAAAAATAATTTCTTATTTTGTGTCAGAAGAACTCTAATTAACACGAAAAAAAACCCCATAAAACCTGAAATAAGCACTAAAAAAACCCTAAAAAACCCTATATCAACCCTAAAAATCAGAAAAACCCTTAAAACCTTAAAAATTTTAAAAACCCTAAAAACCACAAAAAAAACCAAAAAAAACCAAAAAAACCCTTAAAACCCCTCAAAACGCTAAAACCCCTAAAAAACCCTAAAAAACTCTAATTAAACCCTAAAAACCTTAAAACTCCTAAAAACCCCAAGAAAAATTAAAAAAAAAACCCTAAAACCCTAAAAAAAACCCTATGAAACAGGAAAATCCCTAAAACTCCTAAAAAACCTAAAAAAACCTTAAAACCCTAAAGAAACCCTAAAAACCCTAAAACCCCCTAAAAATCTAAATAAACCCTAAATAAACCTTAAAAATACTAAAAAAACCTAAAAAATCCTAAAACCCCTAAAAAGCGCTAAAACCCCTAAGAAAACCCTAAATAATAAAACCACCTAAAACACCCTATTATCCTAAAAGACCCTAAAATCCTAAAAAAAAAAAAAAAAAAAAAAAACCCCCAAAAAACCCCCTAAACCCCCAAAAAAAAAACCAAAAAAAAAAAAAAAAAAAAAAAAACCCCCTAAAAACCCTCTAAACCCCCAAAAAAAAATCCTAAATAAAAACTAAAAAAACCTAAAACACCAAAAAACCCATAAAACCCTAGAAAGCACCTGAAAACCCCTAAAAACCATAAAAAAAAAAAATCCTAAAACCCCCTAAAAACACTAAAAAAAGTCCTAAAGCCACTTAAAACCCCTTAAAATAGGAAAAAACCCTAAAAAAAAGTTCAAAATTCATTTCAAGCACTATGTATACTCTTTCAAAACTGTTTGAAACAATTGAAAACTATCAGATACTGCAGAATACAAAACTTCCCTTTTTGACCCCGTTTTCAACTATTTTAACAATTCTGCCCTTAAAAATAGATTTCAACGTTTCTAAATCAGATTGCATTATTTTTCAGCCAAAATTTAATACAACGTATGTTATAGAGTCCAGGATATGCCGTTTGAGCAGTTTTGAAAAATTCACCCAGTAAGTTTTATATTTTTGTGTTTTTATCCCAAAATAGCCAAATCTTTACAATTTAGTCCTCTAGGAAAGTTTAACAAAATTTCTTATGGTTTTCAACACAAAATTACTGTCAACATGCTGCCTTAACACAGATTTGTTAACATTCATAGTTTTGTGATTTTTGTCCAAAAAAATCAATTTTTACTAACGTTTTACATTAAACCACATAATAGGCCATATTTGAACTCTAAACTTAGAACAAACATAACTCAGGCATAAACATAGATTTTTGATCATCTCAAGAAGACAAAACATACTTCAAACATCCAAGAATCTTGCTATATCAAAACATTTCCATGCCAAAGTCCTTAAAGTTAGCAATTTTTAAGAAAGAAAAAAAAAATCAAAGCTTTATGTTACCAAGTTTTTTTCCCTACTTAAACCTAACAAAGCTTCATGCTATTTTTTATTTTTATTTTATTTTATCACTAAACCATCATTGCTCTAATCATACCATTACAAACATATACCCATAGATCTTAGAAATCAATTCACAAGATCTCTTTCTTACAACATAAAAGCATCAAAACTAAACTTTTCTCTCCAAAATGTTTAGAACTTTATACCTAGATAGTCCAAAGGTGTGCTCTCCTTTTCTTGGTTTCTTTGGTATCTCTCAAGTCTTCTAATGATTGCTTGAACTTTCCTAGTAAAGCAACCATTTCTAAACTTAAACAAAAACTTTTTTTGAAAGAAAAGCACTAAAAGCTAAGTTTATCATCTTGATGAAGTTCTTAGAACACTAAGCCATCTTGTTCTTATTTCTTTGGTGGATTTTTAGACTTGGGTAAAGAGATATTTTGAGGAACAAATCTGATGATAGGCTTTGCGAGGTAAAGAAATGGGAGAAAGAAAGGTAATTGTTTGAAGACTTAGTGGAGAAAATAAGTTAAATGGGATAATTGCTATCTTAACCTTGGCTATTTGTAGGCCCCCATAAAACCCGAAACAAGCACTAAAAAAACCCTAAAAAAAACCCTATATAAACCCTAAAAAATCTGAAAAACCATAAAAAAAAACCCTAGAAAACCCTAAATACCAAAAAAATCTCTAAAAACTATAAAACCCCCCAAACCCTAAAAAACCTAAAAAAAAACCCCTAAAAATCTAAATAAACCTTAAAAACAGTAAAAAACCCTAAGAAAACCCTAAATAAACCATAAAAACCCCTAAAACACCCTAAATCCCTAAAAGACCCTATAATCCTAAAAAACTCTAAAAACCCTCTAAACCCCCCTAAAACCCATAAAAAACCTTTAAAACCCCTAAAAAACCCTAAAAATTCTAAAAAAATTCTTAAAACCCCTAAAAACCACAAAAGAACCATAAAAACCCTAAAAATCCTTAAAAACGCTAAAACCCTAAAAAACCCTGCATAAACCCAAAAAAAAGCCTTAAATAAACCCTAAAAAACCCTATAAAACTCTTAAAGAACCCTAAAAAACCCTTAAAAACTTAAAAAAAAAACCCCCCAAAAAACCATAAAAAAACAAAAAAAAACACGAAAAAACCCTATATCAACCCTAAAAAATCCTAAAACCCATAAAAACCCTAAAAAGTCCTAAAAACCCAAAAAAAAAAACCCTAAAAACGCTAAAAACCTTTAAAAAAAACCCTCAAAAAACCCAAAAAAAACATAAATAAGCGATAAATAAACCCTAAAAACACAAAAAACTCTAAAAACCTTAAAAAAAAACCCTCAAAAAACCTAAAAAAACATAAATTAGCGAAAAATAAACCATAAAAACCCTAAAACCCCTACGAAACCTGAAGAAAACCTTAAAACCCTAAAAAACCTTCAAACCCCTAAAAATCTTAAAAACCCAAAAACTCCTAAAAACCTTAAATAAACCTTAAAAAATACTAAGAACCCTAAAAAACACATTAAAGAAACCCCAAAAAAGGCTAAAAAAAACCCCTAAAAAAACCCTAAAAACTGTAAAAAAAAAAAAAAAAAAAAACCCTAAATAAACCCTAAAAAAATCCTAAAAAACCCTAAAAAAACTCTAATTAACACGGAAAAAACCCTAAAAACCCCATAAAACTCGAAACAAGCACTAAAAAAACCCTAAAAAACCCTATATAAACCCTAAAAAATCCGGAACACCCTAAAAAACCCTAAAAACCCTAGAAAACCCAAAAACTCCAAAAAACACTTAAAAATAATAAACCCCCCCCCCAAAACCCTAAAAAACCTTAATAACCCTCAACCCCCTCCCCCAAAAAAAAAAAAAAAAAAAAAAAAAAATCGAAAAAAAACCCCAAAAAACCCTAAAAAACCTTAAAACCCCCCACCCCCCCCCCCCAAAACCCTAAAAAACCTTAAAACCCCCCACCCCCCCCCCCCAAAACCCTAAAAAACCTTAAAACCCCCCACCCCCCCCCCCCAAAACCCTAAAAAACCTTAAAACCCCCCACCCCCCCCCCCCAAAACCCTAAAAAACCTTAAAACCCCCCACCCCCCCCCCCCAAAACCCTAAAAAACCTTAAAACCCCCCACCCCCCCCCCCCAAAACCCAAAAAAAACATAAATAATCGATAAATAAACCCTAAAAATCCTTAAAAAAAACCTTAAAAACCCTGAAAACACTAAAAAAAAAACCCCCTAAAACCCTAAATAAACCTTTAAAAATACTAAGAACCCTAAAAAAAACACATTAAAAAAACCCTAAAAATGCTAAAAAAAAAACTTAAATAAACCCTAAAAAATCCTAAATAAACCCTAAAAAACACTAAAAACCCAAAAAACCCTAAAAAAACTCTAATTAACACGAAAAAAACCCTAAAACCCCTTTAAAACCCTAAATAGACTCCAAAAAACCCTAAACAAATACTAAAAAAAGCCTAAAAAGCCATTAAAAAAACCCCTAAAAAGCCCTAAAAATCATAAATAAACCTAAAAATTCTACAAAAAAAACTAAAAACCCTAAAAACCCTTAAAACGCTAAAAACTCTGAATAAACCCTAAATAACCTTAAATAAACCCTAAAAACCCTTTAAAACTCTTAAAGAACCCTAAAAACCCCTTAAAACAAAAAAAAACCCCCCAAAAAACCCTAAAAACTATTAAAAACCCTAAAAAGTCCTAAAACCCCTAAAAACCCTTAAAACAAAAAAAAAACCCTAAAAAACACTAAATCCCCCAAAAATCCTAAAAACCCTCAAAAACCCCTAAATAAACCCTAAAAACCATTAAAACCATAAAAAAACC